TCTTTCTTTTTTGGGTCACCCTGCCTCGGTGGGAGACGGCGACTTGTTGAAAAAAAAAAAAAATATATATATATATATATATATATATATATATATATATATATATATATATATTATATATATATATATATTATATAATATTATATATATATAGTGTGAGTACGGTTCGAATCATTTATTTTTTTCAAATTTACACTGGTAGGGGAGAGGGGAGACAGGAAGTCAAAGAAACATTTTAAGAAACTCTTTATTACATATTTTTAGAGACTCTGGAGAAACAGATGTACACAGTTGTGGAAGCTCTAAGTCTTCCCGGTACTAGTGCAGTGCTGGACGTGGTGGTGGTGGCTCTGGGTACACCTGGCATGTTAGTGTTGCCCTTATGTTCAAATTATAAACTTTAATAAATTTGTTTGAGGTGAGGGACTGAAGGAAGTGGAGTTAGTTGACTTTCACCACTGGACACGGTTACTTTTGCCTTACCACAGTCATTACCAGTGATAACTAATGAAGGAAGCCTTTGGACTAGACACCACTTAAATTTCCCTCTTACTTCTACCTCGGTCTTGATAAAGTAGAGAAAGAAGCCTTTGGAGTTGGATTCCCTATGTACAGTAACCTGCGGAGTGACTGGTGACCGTGTAAGACTTTACTAACAACGTCCAATACGTGAAAAACCAACCACTACATCTTCAATAAGTGCAATCTGTGCTCTCCGTGTGCTGTATTCTTGCCTCCACCTCCACGTCAGTCATATCACAGTCTGACTAGTTCATACATTCATACTCTACACTGTTTTATGTACATAACGGAAGAACACATCCGCTGGCCCTAAATATTGAACAACTGAGATACAAGACTCACAGTGACTGTCAATAATGACAGTAGCTAACAGGTTAGTGATCACCATTAGCAGTAGTGATCACCATTAGCAGTGACACTGTCAGCAACGACAGCAGCTAACAGGTTAGTGATCACCATTAGCAGTGACACTGTCAACAACGACAGCAGCTAACAGGTTAGTGATAACAGTGACTCTGTTAACAGTAGCCAATGTTCTTCACGTCTCAACAATTAGCTCTGGCAAGTGAGTCTGGCTGCCGAGCGGTTCATTTCTCAACACAACTTTCCTACACAAGTCTGCATAAACTGTCCTACTACCTATAAACCACATATCCTTTATAATACAAATCTCAATGCCACTTTAATCTTATATACAGTATTATTATTATATTATAGTCAAAAAGAAGCGCTAAATTATATACAATATATAACTTTGTATAATACAGTACTGGAGTGTGGGCAACCACAACACCGTCTCTCACACACATCCCTATATTTTTTTTTTTTTTAGTCGAGGAATTTACAAAGATCATCCAGACAATTTCACGAAAAAAAGCAAAATTTAACCATCATTTTCACTAGAGTTTTGATCAGTATTTTACACAAAATTCAAACTCTTGGTATTTTGTACAAAATTCTGACCATATAAATAGGATTTGTTTCATTGGAAACACAAAATTTCTTGGGTATAAATCGGTGTGAAAATTGATTCTCAGGCCTCAGACTCACTATACACGGACACGCAACACTATACACGGACACTCAACACTATACACGGACACGCAACACTATACACGGACACTCAACACTATACACGGACACTCAACACTATACACGGACACGCAACACTATACACGGACACGCAACACTATACACGAACACTCAACACTATACACGGACACCAACACTATACACGAACACTCAACATATACACGGGACACTCAACACTATACACGGACACTCAACACTATACACGACACTCAACACTATACACGGACACTCAACACTATACACGGACACTCAACATATACACGGACACTCAACACTATAACGGAACTCAACACTATACACGGACACTCAACACTATACACGGTCACTCAACACTATACCGGACACTCAACACTATACACGGACACGCAACACTACACGAACACTCAACACTATACACGGACACTCAACACTATACACGGACACTCAACACTATACACGGTCACTCAACACTATACACGGACACGCAACACTATACACGGACACTCAACACTATACACGGACACGCAACACTATACACGGACACTATACAACCTTTGGGTACGCTTATAAAAAAAAATATATAACTACTCTCTGAAAACGTAAAAAATATATGACCGCTGGAGGCGGATGTTTGTGCTATATGGGACAACAGTTTTATGAGTTATGGTGGAACAGTTCCATGGAATATGGGACAATAGTTCTTTGAGTTATGATAGGACTATGGTATGGAAGAATAGGTCTATGGCATATTAGATCTATGGTATGGCAGAATAGGTCCATGGTATGGCAGGATAGGTCTATGGTATGGCAGAAAAGGTCCATGGTATGGCAGGATAGGTCTATGGTATGGCAGAAAAGGTCCATATGCAGGATAGTATGTATGGAAAGTCCATGATATGGCAGGATAGGACTATGGTATGGTAGAATAGGTCCATGATATGGCAGGATAGGTTCTATGGTATGGTAGAATAGGTCCATGGTATGGCAGGATAGGCCTATAGTATGGTAGAATAGGTCCATGATATGGCAGGATAGGTTCTATGGTATGGTAGAATAGGTCCATGGTATGGCAGGATAGGTCTATGGTATGGTAGAATATGTCTATGGTATGGTAGAATAGGTTCATAGTATGGTAGAATGACAATTGTGGTGGATAATATAAATTTATGGCACTTTTTGCGGCTACCCTTGGCACTTTTGTCCCTCACCCCCCATAAACCAGGAGCAATCCCCACCATGCTACAGCCCCCCACCCCCTGATACCCCATTTCAAGGATGTTGCTACCCTGTCCTGCTGGAGGTTATTCCGGGGATCAACGCCCCCGCGGCCCGGTCCATGACCAGGCCTCCCGATGGATCAGGGCCTGATCAACCAGGCTGTTACTGCTGGCCGCACGCGGTCCCGGCCTGCCTCCTGACCTACCACCTTTTCTAAGTGAACTTCGCTAGCACAGTGCCACCACTTTCCACTCCACTTGGCACTTTAACCACTTAACCACGAACGCTAGCGTAGCCATACGTACGTTGCGGTGCAAGCAACGGCGATAATGAAAGCAACGGGAAATGAAGAAAATCATCTGTAAACATATATTACATTAGTCTGCCATAAAGAAAACATATATACTTATATATACTCATATATATATTTACATATATATATATATATATATATATATATATATATATATATATATATATATATATATATATATATATATATTATATAATATATATATATATATATATATATATATATTATATATATATATATAAAATATATATATATATATATATATATATATATATATATATATATATTATATATATAATCTCTCAGTCTACAGCAGTATAGGAACCTACAAACTCGGCGAGTTAGAGTACACAGTACTTTATCCACACAGCCAGACTCCAGATCCTGCTGTGGACTGAGAGGTAATGTTTGCGAATTGTTAAGCATATGTATGTATGTAAGGCACTTACGTTTAACCAAGGATATATTGTAAACAACTGCATGTATGTCATAAATTGTGAATACACGGAGGGATACATCTCTCATTGTATACGCAATGAGTTTAAATTCCTATTTTTCAGAGATTAAAATTGGCCTTGGGAAGGTAGAAGACATGTACACACCTACTGTCTTATCGCTGGAAATAAATAGCAACTCATATACAATGCTGTTTGTACATAAGACTTGTGCAAGCAGCTGTCTGTGCAAGTGACAGGAAGCAAGGTGAGGGTGATGATAGTGTCACGTCACTAGTGTCAGCCTAGGTAAACACTTTTGATGCTCCACCTCTGATAATATTGACTCAAGGTGTAGCCATCCCAACACAAAAAACACTACGCTATATATATATATATATATATATATATATATATATATATATATATATATATATATATATATATATATATATATATATATATATATATATATATATATATATGGCATCCTTCCCGACATGGATTTTTCGGAAAATAATTACAAAGCGTGTGGATCCATCCCACGTGATGACACAGTGTGGATAAGCAGCTGCTGGTGTACTAATGCTGGATATCCACCAACTGTAAAAAAAAATCAACGTATTTCATTGCCTGTTACTTGCATACATGTTACAATGAAGACACTCCTCACTACTCTCCTCATAATTAGTATGATCCTCTGAAATTATCTCATAACAACTGATACTGCTGCAACACACACACACACACACACACACACACACACACACACGTGGAAACTCTGCAAAGGCTGCCTCTCACGTGGCTAGAGCTTATGAAGAGATTTGATCACGACATACAGAATACTCTAGTTGATACAGCAAGGATGGTAGAAAGTATTCTTATAATGTAAGAATGATAAGGAAATGGAATGAGTTAGGTCACGTTATCTCTCCCCAAGGGTTAGAAGCTGGCCCAAGAGCTGGATACCAACACACAAAAATATACCACACGTACAGTCGTAACTAACACACACACACACACACACACCACACACACACACACACACACAGTCGAAACTGACACACACACACACACACACACAGTCGAAACTGACACACACACACACACACACACACACACACACACAGTCGAAACTGACACACACACACACACACACACACACACACACACACACAACAACACACACAGTCGAAACTGACACACACACACACACACACAGAACAGAACAATAACATACTGAACACAGTAGGAATTCTAAGAACAAATATATAAATTTTCTTCGCTCAACACTACAATGTCTATCACAAAACTAAACACATAAATCATCACTTGTCTACACTTATAATTACTGTACAAGTGGAGGGGAAATGTTCATTTATGGGCAGAGATTAGCGAGTTGTTCTTGTATGGGTGAAGAAGGAAGTGGGTTCTTTTATGAGTGGGTTACTTCATGGATGGGTGAAGAAGTGGAGTGGGTGATAAGGTGGAGAAGTGTCACACTACAGGGAAGGTGGAGTAGTAACGGAGGATGATAGTAGTAAAGATGGAGGCGAGAGCTGAGAGGATGCGGTCCGCTGGTCTGGTGGTCACTGCCTGGCTGTTCTCGTCCTCCGTAGGGGCTGCTACAGTCCGCTGAAACACCGTGTCCGTTCCCTTGGACAGTGACTCAGATTCCGGGTGCCACGAAACGTCCACCACGGGCTCGGTTTGTAGCTCCGTGGAGGGTTCGGAGAAAGGTTCTTCCGTGGTGGTGGGTGGTTCTGTGGTTGTCGTCGTAGGAGGCGTTGTTGTAGTTGTGGTAGTGGTAGTAGTTGTGGTAGTAGTAGTAGTAGTAGTGGTGGTGGTAGTGGTGAGCTCGTAGAGAATGTCAGCAACTTCGGGCATTTCGATGTCAGTGCCATTCTCGATGTAATAGTATCGTTTGTACATGGCAGCTACGGCTACCAGCGCCTCGTGGGTGTGTAGTGAAACGATGTTACGAGCCTGCTGGGTGCTGTCTGCGTAGTGTGCCGTTAGAGTGGCAGTGTAAGGTGCTTCGTAATGCCTCACTCTACCCTCCAGTTCCACCTCGACGCCCACACCGGCAGGCAAAGTGTGCACCAGAGTGATGGTATCAGCTCTCGCCAGGTTGTTGTTGATGCCCCACATGAGGGTCAGAGGCTTCTCGGGGGAGGGCATGGCCACGGGCGCCTCCTTAGGGTTGGTGATGATGGCCCTGAGGGCTGTGACGGTGCCCTTGACGCGCCCCCAATACTGTTTCTCACGAGCCTCGTACGTAACCAGCTTCGATACCTCCTCGTCTTCCTCTCCAGGATTCTCCATCGTGACTGTCTTCAGCAAAACCTTGTGTTCTGTCATCGTATCCTTGGAGTCATCCAAGACGATATTTCCTAGAGAGTAACTGACAGGTTCTTCCTCCACTACAATATTCGCTTTTTCCACGCGTCTTATAGTATCGTCATCAATGAGGATGGCGCGACGGTCCTTCATTCCCAGTCCCACGTGGCCCGCCATCAAGGCAGCCTCTGGACTTGAGTCCAACGGGGCTACCGCCAACATCATGTTCGGGGACAAGACAGCGTTATCAGGCTTCGCCATGAAACCATCCCAGGGTTGCAGGTGCAACCGCGCGGATCCATTGAGTGACACCAGGATATCAAACTTATCCAGATGGTGTATTCCCTTCAAGAAGGGGATGACACAGATATTATCTTTTCCGAATGAGCCAGGGACGTATGTGCCCCGGTGTCTGCCCCGGCACCAGTAGGGCCCCGTGCTGCTGCTCAGGCTGATGGGAACAGCGTGCTCAGGTAGCTTGTCTGTGTCAGAGATCCAGGCCAGGGTGGAGGAGGTGACGGATGTACTTCCCCCAGCACGCCACAGCCGCACCATATCCACAGCTGCCTGACATGTGCCGCACACCACCACTGACGCAATCATCAACCTGAAACGTAAACAACATATGAGAAACACTGCTATAGGCCTACTGGCTCAAACTACGCAGGTTTTGCTTAATGGTTGTCTTCAAGAGGGAGCTGGACAGATACCTAAGTCGGTGTCGGATCAACCGGGCTGTGGTTCGTACGTTGGACTACGTGTGACCAGCAGTAACAGCCTAGTTGATCAGGCCCTGATCCACCGGGAAGACTGGTCGTGGACCGGGCCGCGGGGGCGTTGATCCCCAGAATACCCTCCACGTAAACTCCAGGTAAGTAGACCCCACCCGGCTTACAATGATGTATTACATTCCTGTGAAAGTAACTCCATCCCTGCTGGAAGGAAATCTGCAGTAGGTACCGAACCCACGGAGTAATGCTTAGCGACCGCAGCAACTGCACAACCCAAGTCATCATGGGTTTAGAAGAGGTCGCTCCTGCCTTTCGCAAGTGCTGAACCATTACGACTAGATCTAAGTTGCACATGACAGGCAATACGCAGATGTAGTATACACAGACTTTGCAAAAGCCTTCGACAAGTGCGGCCACGGGGTAATTGTACATAAAATACGTGCAAAAGGACTAACTTCCTAACAAATAAAACCCAGAGAGTAATAGTAAGCAGAGTGAAATTAGGGACTGCTACAGTACAAAGTTCTGTACCCCAAGGCACGGTATTCGTCCCACTTCTCTTCCTCAATCTCATTTCTGACATAGACAGGGACATAAATCATAGCCGTGTAACATCTTTGTAGGCGATGCAAGAATCTGTATGTCATCCATATAAGATACAGCGATCCTCCAAGCTGATATAAACCAATCCTTCCACTGACAACAATATGATGTTCAATGAGGACAAATTTCAGTTACTACGCCAGTGAAGAATGGGATAAATAAAAAACAAGATCAGATTACACGACAAACTCAAGCCAGTCAATAAAACGCCCGTCAAATGTGAGAGACCTGGGAGTGATAATGTAGGTCTCACGTCCAAGGAGAACAGCAATATTATTTTCGCAACCGCAAAAAAAAGAGATTAACGGCTCCTTTCAAGGCAAGTTAAGTTGCTGAGCTGGAAAATATACAGAGAACCTTCACGGCTAATATGAACTCAGTCGTGCATCTAAATTACTGATAACACTAAAGTCCTAGAACTGTACTCCTTGGAACGTAGGCGAGAAAGATACAACATAATTCACACCAGGAAGATACTGGAGGAATTGGTACTAAACTTGCACACTGAAATTACTACTTATGAACACAAGAAGTTTGGCAGACAGTGCAGGATGCCTTCGATGAAAATCTCGGAAGTAATGAGTACACTGAGAGATACCTCAACAAGTGTAATGGGACCACGACTCTTCAATATCTCTCTTCGTGCATAAGGGGAATTACTAACAAATCCCTAGGTGTCTTCAAGGGGGAACTCGACGGATTTCGATCAGCTGATCAGCCGGAGGGTGGCTCGTGGCCTGGTTGGCAAAGCTCTTGCTTCACACGCTGAGTGTCCGGGTTCGATTCCCGGCAAGGGCAGAAACATTGGGCGTGTTTCCTTACACCTGTTGCCGTATCCATTTTACTGATGGGTGACCATCAGTAAAATGGATACCTGGGTGTTAGTCGACTGGTGTGGGTCGCATCCTGGGACAAAATTGAAATAATTTGCCCGAAATGTTCAGCATAACAAGAAGTTTTCTATATAGTAGTGTCACTGATGTCAGCTATGGTCTGCTCTATTCTATTCTATTCTATTTTATTCGCCGGTATGGTATCCCGGCCCGGGTCTCTTCCATTTTGGTGGCCCGGCATTGGTTCCCTGGGTAGGGAAGTGTCATTTATCTTTTCTTGCACATGCGGGGCAGTTCTTCAGTGGGAAGGGGGGGTACTTCACCGTCTCTATGGCCAGATGACGTACCAAACGTTAGTGTGCACTAACGGCGGCTGGTGTGCGGTGCAATGGATGCTTTGGCCCTCACAGCGACTTCAGCGGGGGGATGACGTGCAACGACTGGAAGTAAGGTTTCCAAGTCTCTGATGGCTAAGTACACAAGATGTGCTGCCTCATCCTCTCGGGCCTGCCCCATTGGGGTCTGTATACCCTGTACATGTACTTGTAAAAAATATATTATTAGATTATATTATCATACGCTGGACTGTGGGCGGTTGGCACTAACCAGGAGGGCAGAAACCAGGTCTGGGCTGGGACCAGGCCGCGAGGGCAGTGACCTCCAGAAGCGATTCCAGGTAAACTCCAAGTATCCAACACACATTATTTGTGTATTGTTCCAGTCGCGGTATTGTGCCCTTTTTGTTCTTTTTGTTTTTATCTCCGCATGTATCAGTGTTTTGACCAAGTGAACACTGGAGACACATAGAGCACTAAGAAAATGACAATGACTGGAGGGGGAAACTGTGGAGGGGGAGGGATATGGAAGAAAATGAGGGGGTAAGGAAGGAAGGTAGGGAGAAAGTGAAAGAAAGAAATAAAGGTGAAACGGAATGGAAAAGAAAAGTAGAGGGAGGGATAGGATTGACATGATGGACATTAGAGAAAAGGAGGGAAGAGGGACAAAGTAAAGGGGAGAGGGATAGGGAAAAGACGGAGAGGGAAAGTTAAAGAAGAGAAGGAAAGATGAGAGAACATGATAAAGAAGGAGCAGCAGGAGAGATGCGGATATGACACAGTCCTCCGAGGATAATCAGCTTTACAGCCTGGCTGGCTGGCCTATGCTGTCACATCCAACCTGACTCGTAAATCTAAAACAGCCGCTGGGAAACACAACATAGCATAAATTTGTGTGTTGTTACATTCCAAAGCGAGGAGCAGTGAAGCACATGAGGCAGTTAGTGGCGCTGAGGAGCCGTATATCTGTCCCAGAGAGAGACAGGCTGTCTCTCTCTCACCAGTCTCCTTGTTGTCCTACATCTTTTAAAAGCTTTCTGCCGTTGTCGTCACGGCCACCATCGGCTTCACCAGCCAGTCACCACTAAGCCGGCTGCCAAACCATACAACTACCCCCAACACCAGCCGGCCGGCCATCAAACCATAAATGTCAATACAACCCAAGCCAGTGACGTCAGCACAACCATCACCACCAGCATATAATCGTGGTGGCCCTCCCTACACAGATTCATGTTCCACTCCCCAAGTATGGCTGGTAGACTCATAAACCAAACAACCTCACTTCTGCAAGGAAACCATACCGTTTCCAGCAGCTGTGATGGTGCCATTATGGCAGTCTCCGCTACAAGCAGGTCACCACCTCCGTAACAATCATAAGAATGTCAGGCCTACAGACAACACTACGTAAATCCTTCTCACATTCAAATTTCTGACACAACACAGAGAGTGGTAGTAAACAAAAGCAAGTCGAGCATCCACAAGTCTTTACCTTCAAATTACCGCCCAATAAGCCTAACCTCAATTGTAGTCAAATTACCACAAGGCAACGGTAAACAATATGATGTTCAATGAGGACAAATTCCAACTACTCCGTTATGGAAAACTGGAGGAGATAATAACTAGAACAGAGTATACTACAGACTCTGGCCATACAATAGAGAGGAAAAATAATGTAAGGGACCTGGGAGTAGTAATGTCTGAGGATCTCACTTTCAAGGATCACAACAGTGCCACGATCGCACGTGCAAAGAAAATGATAGGATGGATAATGAGAACTTACAAAACGAGAGATGCCAAGCCCATGATGATCCTTTTCAAATCACTTGTTCTCTCTAGGCTGGAATACTGCTGTACATTAACATCTCCATACAAAGCAGGTGAAATCGCAGATCTAGAGAGTGTACAGAGATCCTTTACTGCACGTATAAGTTCTGTCAAGCACCTTAACTACTGGGAACGCTTGGAAGCACTTGACTTGTACTCGTTGGAACGCAGGAGGGAGAGATATATCATAATCTACACTTGGAAAATCTTGGAAGGAATGGTCCCAAATCTGCACACAGAAATCACTCCCTACGAAAGTAAAAGACTGGGCAGGCGATGCAAAATGCCGCCAATAAAAAGTAGGGGCGCCATTGGCACACTAAGGGAAAACACCATAAGTGTCCGGGGCCCAAAACTGTTCAACAGCCTCCCATCAAGCATTAGGGGAATTGCCAATAAACCCCTGGCTGCCTTCAAGAGAGAGCTGGACAGATACCTAAAGTCAGTGCCGGATCAGCCGGGCTGTGGCTCGTACGTCGGACTGCGTGTGGCCAGCAGTAACAGCCTAGTTGATCAGGCCCTGATCCATCGGGAGGCCTGGTCGTGGACCGGGCCGCGGGGGCGTTGATCCCGGAATAACCTCCAGGTAGCACCTGTTTCTCATCTTCGTAAATAGGAAAGCTAGTGAGACAGGTTCGTATCATAATAATAATATATTTATTTACTACAAGTACATGTACAAGGTATACAGACCATACATGACATCAATGACTTACTACTATATAGAAAGCCCCTTGTTATGTTGAGCATTTCGGGCAAATTAGGTCAGTGTCCCAGGATGTGACCCACACCAGTCCACTAACACCCAGGTACCCATTTACTGATTACCTGGAGGTTATTCCGGGGATCAACGCCCCCGCGGCCCGGTCCATGACCAGGCCTCCCGATGGATCAGGGCCTGATCAACTAGGCTGTTACTGCTGGCCGCACGCAGTCCGACGTACGAGCCACAACCCGACTGATCCGGCACTGACTTTAGGTATCTGTCCAGCTCTCTCTTGAAGGTAGCCAGGGGTTTATTGGCAATTCCCCTAATGCTTGATGGGAGGCTGTTGAACAGTTTTGGGCCCCGGACACTTATGGTGTTTTCTCTTAGTGTACCAATGGCGCCCCTACTTTTTATTGGCGGCATTTGCATCGCTGCCAGTCTTTTACTTTCGTAGGGAGTGATTTCTGTGTGCAGATTTGGGACCATTCCTTCCAAGATTTTCCAAGTGTAGATTATGATATATCTCTCCCTCCTGCGTTCCAACGAGTACAAGTCAAGTGCTTCCAAGCGTT